GGAGGCTGGAAATGAGCCTGTTTCTGGACTTCTGGAACTTCTGGAAGGCCTGTTTTTCACCCTCCCAGATCCTCTGTGTGGGTGCTGCACTTACCTGGCATCCAAAACAGGTGGCATGGAGACTCCTGGAAAGGGTGGGGTAGCGTGGGGTGGGAGGGGCCAGCCAGTCCTTGCAACTACTGATTCGCCCGAACTGGTCTGAACCAGCTGAATCCCACCCCTGGCTGTAACCACCTAGATATAATTTGCCCTTGTTTGGCAAGGAGCGCCACTGAGAATCTTTGCTCTGCTCTCTGTTCTGCTAACTGAGTGTAGAGGCTTGGAGGCCAGTCATGCACCATCATCTGACTAGCCAGCTTTTCTCATGGTACCTACCTTTGATCAGCCTCAGATGATTCCTGGCTTGGTGTCTCCTGAGGGTGATATTCCACTAAACCAGCTTCTTCAGACCCAGATTGAGTCCTGAACCATGAAAAGCCGATCTGAGATATGTATGCATGTTGGCTACAATTGCCTTTTATTCCTAAGGGTTTGGGCTGGAATTGGAGGGATCCTCAAAATGTCAGGTAACTATGTCCCTGAAGTCTGGAATAAAATGGCTTCTGAGGCTCTACAAAGTCCAAAGGACTGGGTGATTTATACCTGGTTTCAAATCCATAATCCAGATCTAAGCCTTTCCCCCCTAAAGCAGGGGTGTGGAATTATGGCCTCTTTATGACCTGTAGACTTCAACTCCCAGAATTCCTGAGCCATGCTGGCTCAGGAATTCTGGGAGTTGAAGTCCACAGATCATAAAGGAGCCATAGTTCCACACCCTTAGTCTAAAGCCATATTCTTGGACAACATTCCCCAATGTGTTGGTTTTCAACATTCATCCTGCATGTTGGCTGAAATTTATAGGATCTGATATCCAGCACATACAGAGAATTTCAACTGGGGGAGGGGGGGGAAGTTTCTCAGGATTCAGATAGCCTGCCAGCTGTGACACCAGACTCCAGGAAGTTTATTCTCTGCAAAATAATCACTACGGAGAGAGATTAGATCAAATAATTCTGGTGTCCTAAATATCTTCTTAATTTTCTTGGAGAGGGAAGCCTGTTATTAAAAAATGTTTGCTGCTTCATCAATGCCTAATGACAACAAAGAACATTGCCCATTGTGCAAGCAGGCATTACAGATTTACTTCCAAAATATTGGCAAGGTAAACAAAGGAAGAGATTTGACAAGTAATTATGCCCAGGCAGGTATGTGCTTTAATGTAATGCCAGAAAGACAATGCCCTCCAGTGGTCTTCTGGCTTCACCGGTACATTTTATCAAAGCTGATCATCTTCTAAGGATATTTCAAAGTACTTGACTGACTATACAAAATACTGACATCATCCCCTCAGCAAGCCTGTGAGCCTTAGCATTAATATCCTAAATAAAGTCCAACTGCTGGCTTCTCAAATGGATTTGAAACATGAGGAGAGACAGGATTCAAATTTGAGATCTCCTGCAGAGTGCATTTCCCAACTTTAACATTTTTCAGATGAGTAAACTTCTACTCCCAGAATTCTCAGCATTGGCCACACGGTCTGGGGAATTCTGGGAAATGAAGTCCATCCATCTGGAGAGCACCTAGTTTGGGAAACTCTGATTAAAGGCTTGAGGATTAGCTAGCAAGAGTTCCATCTGTTGGAGAACTTTATGAGAGCTCCTAGGGATTTCTGAGAGAGAGAGGGAGGGAGGGAGGGAGGGAGAGAGAAAATGGATAAATTATGATAATGGTAGATGATAGAACTAGATAGATAGATAGATAGATAGATAGATAGATAGATAGATAGATAGATAGATGAAAATAGAGATAAACAATAGATAGATAGATAGATAGATAGATAGATAAATAGATAGATAGATATACATGATAGATAGATAGAGATACATGATAGATAATGATAAATGATAGATAATGATAAATGATAGATAGATAGATAGATGGATGATGGTAGGTAGGTAGGTAGGTAAGTAGATCTAGAAAATAGAGATAAATGATAGATGATAGATAGATGATAGAGGGAGGATTAGCTAGCAAGAGTTCCATTTGTTGGAGAACTTTATGAGAGCTCCTAGGGATTTCAGAGAGAGAGAGAGGGAAGGAGGGAGATAGAGAGAGAATGGATAAATGATGATAATGGTAATTTGATGATAGAAATAGATAGATAGATAGATAGATAGATAGATAGATAGATAGATAGATAGGTGATAGGTGATAGGTGATAGATGATAGGTGATAGATAGAGAGGATTACATTGTAAGCATTTTCCATCTCAAAATGCCAAGAAACCATTCAACTATGGTCAGAGATGACTTGGAGATAAGGAGAGGGATATCAGATACAAACAACGAGGCCCACACATGCAGAGGTCAAGTTATCTATTTTATTATGTTCTGACTATAATTCAGGATTTTCCCCAGACTGGCAGTCTTCCCTTGGGATTAAATAGATAAGGCCCCAAGGAACTTGAGGGAAAGGGTCAAACCTAGATCTTTTGTGATTGTGTGATGATTCCAGTATCACTCCAACCTTACCTCTTCCCTGTCAGGCTGGATGCTTCCCAACAGAGGAGGCTACAAAAATGTTCTATAGTTTTATGAATACAGGAAAATATGAAAAGGTAACTTTAAATTACAGATGGGACCTCACAGCCTTGGGGTTTAAGGGGCAAAACCCCCAGCCTTCTGGGCTAAAGTCACTCCCATCCCTATATATATGATTAATTTTCTCCATGCAAGTCAAATTATTTCTGATACCCTTTCCCTCTGTTTATTTACAATACCATCTTACATTCCCTTCTTATATGACTGGGAGTACAGTACACAAAAGAGCATCTGGATCAAGTGGATTTTTCACTGGGCACATTTGGGTCTGCTGATGCTCAGCTGCTCTTGTTCTTGGAAGACCACTTCAGAGGTGGACCTTTGGAGAAAGATCCACCATTTCTACAAGACAGCAGCCAAGTGGGCTACAGATTAGGCTCCCGAGCTGAAAGTGAGAACAATGACCATAAATGCTCCATGATAGCAGTAGCTTGGTCAATGCTGGTGTGAATATTGTATCTCTGTTTAGACAATAGTACATTAAACATCAGCTTCTGCAACATTTATGTAAAGCCTTGTCTCCTCTTTTGCCTTTAGCTCTACAGTAGCCCTCAAATATCAGACAACAGTTCCCTTCCCTGTCAAGATCACGTTTGGCCTTGTGGGTTAGAAATTATGAGAATGCTGGAGATTAGAAATCTACTCAACCTTCCCCCAACAGCTGTCTTCTGACAGGTTGAACTATGAGCTTCATTATCCTCATCCTGGCGTGTTATAATTATTATATTGTTATAATTCTGCACATCAGCAGGCAAAGCTTTGGAGGAAACTAGGCTAAAAATATCAACCGTTTCTCCAAAACAGCATCCGAGTGAGCTATAGCCATTTCTCAGATCCTTCTAGACTGAATGAATGTTTCATATATGCTTAACAATGGTATTTGGTACATATGTTGAGAGACACAATGGAGAATTGTTGGTCATGGAGAGACTGGACAGGACGTATTTCTAAAGCTTTCTCTGGAGGTAGATCAGATCGGAGTAACTTCTACCCTGGCTGAAGAGCATGGAGAAGCAGAAGAAGTGGACCATGTTGCAGAATGCTCTTCAGAGCCATACTGGTTTGAGAGAAAGAAGGAAAATTGGTGGCAAGGTGGCCATCATGGAGATGTAGTGGCAGATTCCTTCCTTCCAAAGCCCGTTCTACTTCCTTGGATAAATTCAGATGACTAGCTAGCTATATGATAGACAGATAGATAATAGAAGATTATAGATAAATGGGAGAGAGAGAGAGAGGGAGGGAGGGAGGGAGGGAGGGAGGGAGGGAGAGAGAGAAAAAGAAAGAGAAGGGGGAGAAAGAGACCGATAGATACTGATAGATAGATGATGGATAGATAGATAGATACTGATAGATGATTGATTGGTACTGATAGATGGATGGATGGATGGATGGCTAGATAGATGATAGATAGATAGATAGATAGATAGATAGATAGATAGATAGATGATAGATGGATGGATGGATGGATGGATGGATGGATAGATAGATTGATTGATAGATGATAGATGATAGATGGATGAATGGATGGATGGATAGATGGATAGATATAGAGAGGTATATACCAGTGGTGGGTTGCCCCCGGTTCGCACCGGTTCTATAGAACCGGTAGTAAAACTGGCGGGAGGCTCCGCCCACCGACCCTGACATCATCAAAATGCTTTTGCGCATGCGCGAGCGAAGTGAGCTTGCACGCACTGTCCCGTTGCAACCGGTAGTAAAGGTAAGTAGAACCCATCCCTGGTATATACCAGTAGATAGGTAGGTAGGTAGAGACCAGTAGATAGATAGATATGGATGGAGAGAGACAGAGAATTTAGAAATAGTACCCTTATGCTTCCTCAAGTTGCTGTGTGCAGACACATTTCTTGCCTCTGAATTTCTTATATATTCACAACTAAAAGAATATTAATTCTTAACTCCAGGAAATGAGGTAGATCTGCCCTCCAGATTGTCAAGATACATAACTCAGAATGCCCACCCAATGGCAAAGAATGTTCAATACTAGTATTTTCCAATGCTGCTGCTCTCAAGCTGTGTCATCCTCAACTCTCATAAACCCCAGTCAATAGGGCCATAATGAAGAATTCTGGGAACTGGGAACTGAAGTCCGTAAGAACTGGAAAATAGTGTTTCTTAACCTGGGCAGCTTGAAGATGTGTGGATGTCAACTCCCAGAATTCCCCAGCCGGCTTCCCCAAGTTACATCTTCAAGCTTCCCAGGTTGGACTAAATCATTCTTGGTAGGTCTCAGGTCTCTCTTACAGGCCCCCCCTGTGCTGAGAGGAGAGAATTAAAATGAAGGCAAGCTGATCATAATAACTGGTTTCAACTTCATCAAGAACCATGCTGCAAACATTTAAATAGAAGTTAAGGCTTTTTATTGGGTAGACTTGAATGAAGCTCCACAGACATAAAATACACCTCTGAAATGAATGAATAAAAAAATATTGAACCAACAATTAAAGAAAATGCAAAGAAATTCTAAAGAATTTAGAATTCTGCAGAAACTGAATGGAAGAGAAAAGTAAATCAGAAACCTGGCACATAAGTTCTTACTTAGCTCCTTGTTATTTCACTGAATTTTTTACACAAGAGAAATTCAAATTCATTAAGTCCTAGATGTAATATACAAAACTGAATAGAAATCATTTTTTTTTAAAAAAAACTAACGATCAGGCACGGTGTTAGTAGGAGAATGTATAAAAATAAGGCTGTGATTGAAGTCCCACCTCTTTTTACATATGCATATAAAAATGGGTGAGCTTTCAAGTAGTCAGTGGTAGCTGCCATCTTGACTTTTTTGACATTCCCCACTAGCAGACACCTCTGCTGTCATACATTGCCCTCTAAGGAATCTTTGTCATCATCAAACAGTATCTTCTGAAGCATGCTAGATGTTCCTCAGAAAGTTCTCCCTTAGATTTTAGGTTTAGGTTTAAAATTTTGATCAGGCACACAGCACAGGTGAGGAAGCTGAGTATTACTGATAATTGTCTGGCCATCATGAGGATAGTTCATTTCTAATCATGGAAAAACAGAATTATAGAATTGGAAAGGATCTGCAAATCCTCTGACCAACCCTTAAGTGCTGGAAAACATTAAATGAGGCAATCATTTCCTTACCACAGTTTATTATTTGTATTTATTAGTTGGTTCATTTGCTTAAATATTTATCTTCTGCCATTGTGTAATTGGCCTGCTGTTCATTAGAAATATCTAACTGTATTTTCTAACAACCCATACAGAAAGGCCCCCATTATTTGAAGGAGATCAACTGACTTCATTGATTATGCCAAGCTACAAGACTGGGTTATGGTTAAGTATATTCCCCAGATGCAGCAAATATGAATTGCAAACCAAGTTTAGCATGAACTAGGATGAGTGGTTTATTCAGTAAGTAAAATTAAATAAGCCATAGCTTAGTGTAATGGGGGACTCTAGCACAGAGATAGAGTTCTACCAATAGAAAAGAATATTTGTAGCTCAGTGTTAAACCGTGGAGTCCTTGGTGCTCTAGCACTGATGATGTTACCTAGTTTGGTAATGAAACGTTTGCAAGAAAACAATCAAGCTTAGAGAGCACCAAGGGCCCCATGAATAAAGGTGTAGTTCACTGCAGGTGTGCTATTCAGCAGGTTCTGACAGGTTCTGGAGAACTGGTAGCAGAAATTTTGAGTAATTCGGAGAACCGGTAAACACCACCTCTGGCTGGCCCCAGAATGTGGAGGGAATGGGGATTTTCCAGCATCCTTCCCCTGGAGTGGGGTGGGAATGGAGATTTTGCAGTATCCTTCCCCTGCCATGCCCACCAAGCCACACCCACCAAGCTACGCCATTCCATGCCCACCAAGCCACGGCCACAGAACCGGTAGTAAAAAAAATTTTTGAATTCCACTACTGGTTTACTGGATTGATTTTAAAGACCTGTTTGAAGTGAGAGATGGTTTAAAAAAAAAAGCTGAGAATATTAATTCAACAAACCAAATAAGTACCAGGGCACAAAAAGCTCAGAAATTGAGCCAACCTTCACAAATATTATGCTCTCTTCATGTCTTCTTAACTGTGGTGGGAAAAGTTCCCTTACATTTTATTTTAAAAAGGAGACAGCAAACATACTTGGTTGTTTTTAATGAGTGTGCCATGATTAATTTGAAGACTGAAGCTGTATTAGAAAAAATTAGTTCCACAGAGTTTTGGCAGGTGATAAAATTCCTGGTCAACCTTGTCTCGCTAAGCAGGGTTGAGCTGCTTTGTCCTGAAATGAGAAACTTGCAGGCAGTATCGGGGGTATAAGCTAACTGGATAAGAAGACAATGCCAAATCATGACTGTGTTTCTGCCAAGAAAATTATAGGAGCACATCATGTAGAGTCAACCTTGACTTGAGGGAAGTCTTAACTTAGTTTCTCAAGACCTGGGTTATTTATTAGTCTGTAACAGTTCTCCAATCTTGGTTCCAGCCCATCACAAACTACCTCTGTGCAAAATTCCCCTTGTTTTCAAAAAAAATATGAATGCCTTCCTACTATTTTCAGAAAACAAATGCTTGGCCTTCTAATTTTGTGCCTTACAGGAGCAAAGATAAATGAAGAGTGAAGAAAAGGAGCATTTTCTTGCAATATTGCCAAACATCTTCATTAAATCTACGAGCACTTGAGGAAATATTTCTCAATCTCAGTGAGTTTAAAAAGTGTGGACTTTTTAAACTCTTTTTTTGTTGTTGTTGAAGTCCACACATCTTAAACTTCCTAAGTTTGAGAAACACTGCTCTATAATATGTTAGCTCAGGGGTCAGCAACCTGCGGCTCTGGAGCCGCATGTGGCTCTTTCATCCCTCTGCTGCAGCTCCTTGTCATTCAAAATATGCATCACAACCGGCAATGCGCAGCACCTGCTGGCATGCAATTTATTGAGCTTTTCAACCCCCGGTAGGCCAACCATAGATAAATCCAAGAAAAGAAAAGTTTCAGAAGAAAAACAAGAATGTTTAATTCAACTACATATGCTAGTTTTGTAGCTCTCAAGAAATAGTCAGGCACGGGATGGGTTTTGTGGCTGGTGTTTTCTTTTCTGTGGGAAACGGGTCTAAATGGCGCTTTGAGTGTTTAAGATTGCAGACCCCTGTGTTAGTTCAAGATTTGGCTAATCAGAAAAGAGATTGTTTTTTGTCAGATACCAATTTCAGACACTCTTACGCAGAGTAAGTCTCATTCAATGTAATGGGACTTATTCCCACGAGATCAGCCATAGAATTGCATTGCAATTTCTGCCATTGTTTATCTACAGGTATGATCACAACTAGAACTGGAATCGTTGGGGTTGTAAGTCATGTCAAACCCAACTTTGCAATAATTTTTATGATGGTCATTAAGTGAAACATGCAGTCATTAAGCAAATCTATCTTTCCTAATGGGTGCTTTTTGCTGGAAACAAACTAGCAGGTTGTAATCATGTGATCACAGGATGCTGAACAGGTTATAAATGCAAATTTGGCAAATGCTCAAATTGTGATCACATGACCATAGGGGTGGTACGATGGTCATAAATATGAGTATGATCTGAATCACTTTTTACAAGGCCGTCATAACTTTGAACCAATGCTAATTGAACAGTCATAAATCAAGGACTTTGTATTTATTAATTAGCTCTTTGTAGAGTAAAATTATTCAGGATTAAATGTTATTATCTTAGGAAAAATTAAGTAAAAGTTATGTAATAAGATGAATTAGTTTAACCTGCTAAATTCTCTGAAATCCACTGGAATCTATAGAAACAAACCTTTGATATATGAGCAAGGACAGGCAAAGCATAATGCTATTTCCTATTTAATATATGTTCATATAATTCAAAATTTAAACTCTTGTATTTATACATTCTGTACATAGATATTTCCATGTTTCCTTTATGTTCATCCAAAGACTTTTTAGAAAGGAAGTTTTTCTAAAAAGACTTCCTTTTCCTCTGACTGTTTTAAACTTGGTACATTTGAAGGACAAAGCACAGCAGAATAATTGGACAGGTCTCTGAATTAAATAAAGGCGTTTAAACCTACACATGTCTTACTGCTAACTATATCAGCTCTTTGGGGATGCCCACATAAAGCCTTTCCTTTGTAGATATTCCCAGAGAGTGGATACAATGAAAAAAATCTGATTTAATAAAATCTAAGTTAATAAAAACAATCTAGTTAGGATATTCCTAATATGTATGCATAAAAGCCATTCACTTCTGAGCATGAATCAGCCAAGCAGTTTGCAGCATCATAAAAAAAAATTAGCAAACAGAATTTTTGTTAATATACTTTCTTTCCAGCGATGGTGATCAAGACTTCCTTCTACAATGCAGACTCAAAGCCTGATCAATGTTCATTATTCTTGAGGCACAATCCCTCACTGCTATCACCTGGAAATTTGTTAACTATCCAACCTCCCATCGACCTTTTTATCCTCTAAAAGAAAAGGAAAAAATGGGGGGGGGAAGGGAGTACTTGATGAAACTGGGCTGGGCCAATGTTTTAATTTCTCTCTGCTTTTGGGTCTGCTATACCTATCTATGGCTTATAATAAAGCAGGAGAAATGGAGATGCAGAGGACTTTCAGAAGAGAAGTTGAGGGACAGAAACTCCTCCATCTTCACTCATCCCTCACATATGAATAAGGGACATCTTAACCTAACACTCAGGGTATAGAGGATATACGAAACATCTATCCTGTAAGACAGGGGTGTCAAACTGGCGGCCTGCAGGCTGGATGCGTCACACACAGGCCACACCCACCCCAGCTCAGCGAAGGGAAAAAATCAGTGGTGAAATGTAAAATTTGTTACTACCGGTTCTGTGGGCGTGGCTTGGTGCGGGGGAGTGTGATGTGACTGGATGGGCGTGGCCAATTTTTTTTTTTAAACTTTTAAAAGCATTTTTTCTACAACTTCTTCTGCCAAAGAGGTTGTAAAAAAATGCTTTTAAAAGGCTCTGATGATCCCAGGTGAGCCGCGTGATCGTCAGAGTTTTTTTTTTTTACTTTTAAAAGCATTTTTTCGGCCAAAGAAAAAAAGCTTTTAAAAGTTAAAAAAAAAAGCCTCTGATGATTGCGTGGCTCAGCTGGGCATGGGAGGGGTGGGCAGGGATTTTTGCTACCGGTTCTCCAAACCACTCGCCGCCATCGCTACTGGATCGGGCAATCCGGACCGAACCGGGAGCATTTCACCCCTGGAAAAAATGTTGCGATATGTCACATGACAGCAACATGACACAGCGAGTTTGACACCCGTGCTGTAGGATAATAAGATATACCAAACAATGTCTATGTAAACCATAAAAATGGTCTGCTCCAGAAAAACCTTAAGAGGTGAATCTATCTTCTGATCACTATTTAAGACAGGAGTCCCCAACCCCAGGGCCGTAGCCCATTACTGGACCTTGAGCCATTCAGAACTGGGCCATGGAAATGGCGGGTGAGTGCGCGCACATATGCGCATCCCCACACGCATGAGCAGTGGTGGCATGTGCACTCCATTTGAGCTTTCAACCATCCCTTCTTCCCCTACTCCCCCCGCTGTCCTGCAAAGCCAGAAATTCTGATTTAGGAGAATTCTGATTTAAGGGAAATGTCTATGGAGATTCTCAGACATTCTCTGAGTCATGTTTGTCCCACAGGTGTTTTTTCAAAAGGCAATTCGACTTTGTTTTTCCTTTCACTTCGCTTCTTATCTAAACTGAATTGAAGAAGCTTCTTGGATGAGAAGCGAAAATGCCTTCAAGGAAAAACAAAGGAAGCCCTATTTAGGAGGAACTTTCCCCTAACTTATTGGAGCTGGGGACTCCTGAGAAGACCCTTTAAGGGGCTCTGGTACTTTGCCATTGGCATCCCCAATCGCCTCCGAAGGGCACCCTATCTCAGCCTCTCTACAAAGCAGCTGCTCTGTTTCCTCCTTGCCTCCTTTCCCACTGACATCTTCCATAGCTATGGAAGGTACCCTAGACTGACGCTTCCCAAAGAAAGTCACAAGAGTCCCACGCCGGGTTTCCCCTTCCCCTACAGACCCCACCTGTTGCTCCACATCCTTATCCAAGCCCGTATCATCTGGCAACGTCGCTTGTCCAGCCCATTCTGGGGAATTGAAGCTGGTGGAGCCAGAGTGACGGCGGCGCCTAAAGCACAGGAAAGCTAGGAGGCCTACAAGCAGCAGGATGGTGAAAACAACGGCCAAAATGATGACAGAGTGTTTCTTCTCTGAGGGCCCTTTATCAGAAGAGTCAAATATTGACTCATTGTTGCTGTATGTCCCCGATATTATGAAAGGACCAGACGTATAGTGCCTGCCAGTCTTAGGAATCTCGGTTAATTCTGGAACAGCTTGACCTGGTGGCATTGGCCTTGTTCTGTCCTCTTTTGGTTCTGTGCTCTTTGTTGTTTCTAGGTAGGCAGTTACATTTGCTGATTGACCTGGTGGCATTGGCCTTTTCTCTTTTGGTTCTGTGCTCTTTGTTGTTTCTAGGTAGGCAATTTCATTGGCTGATGTCTCAAAGACGCTTCCTTGGGATCTGGTTCCCAAATCCTCTGTTGGAGAAGATACCGTCTCACTATCAAAGTGTGATGTGACAGTCATTTTAGAGGTAACTTCCTTCTGAACAGATTCTTGTACCTTTGTTGCTTCTGTACGAGGATGTTTTTCTTTGATAGAGACACTGACTTTACTTGGTGTAGGGGAGGAAGTGTCTTCTGGGACAGGAGTGTTCACGGCAGTGGCAGATTGTAGTTCCTGTTTTGAGACTGGAGATGTTTCTTTGGAGGACAGTGCTGGTTGCCCTGAAGTGCTCAAATTTCTGCTGAGAGTGTCAAGCATTGTGGCATCAGGAAGTGACGTCGTAGAAATCTCCGTAGCCATCTTAGAAGATGCTGGAAAAAGTGAGGTGCTTATATCTACATTGGCTGTTGTTTTTACATCGATGGTCACATCAGTTATGGTAACAACCTCTGCAAGAAGGTTTTTGCCTGTGGCAAAAAGTAGGAAGGCAACAAAGAGCATTTTGTGGCCAATTACTTGCTGGAATAAGGATCTTGATTTTTCCATGGGAGCAGAATTCCAGAGCCCAGGCTCTCTTGATGTGGAATACGTCAAGGCTAAGAAGAACTTGGGAACAAAAACATGACAAGTTTGTAAGAGAAATTTCCAGAAAATTGTATGCTTAAGACAGAGGACCAAAACCAGTGTTGGGATTCTGCCGGTTCTAGGGGGTTCGGCCGAACCGTTTGTTAAATTGCTGGCTCGCCCCGCCCCTTGCCCCGCCCCTCCGCACCACTATTTATTGCCAATAAATAGTGGTGGGCGAGGGGCGGGCGAACCAGCAATTTAACAAAGGGTTCGGTGTTTTTTTTGTAATTTTATTGGCCCGCGGAGCTTCAGCATAGGCTAATTAGCCCTTGCTTAGATCGGCTCCTGACTCTCAGCTGATTTGCTCTCAGCTGTTTTGCTCAGGGCTCTGCTGCTTGCTTGCAAAGAGTGCTGATTTTTTTCCCCCTAGCTATGCTGAAAAACGAAACAGAAAGTAAAGCAGGCTGTTGGCTTTGCTGTTGTTGCAACGTGGCAAAATGAGGCAGAGAGAGATTTTTTTTTCTTTTTCTTTTTCCTCACCAAAAAAGGTAGGTGCAAACAATGGGAAATTTAGGGAAAAAGAGGAGAGTTCAAGATTTTAAAACACAAAAGAAAAAAAGCTCTATTTAACTAGGGAATTGTAATAATTGAGATACTATTAATTGTATATTGTGTTGAAACCAGAAATGGTTAAGTTGTGGTTTGGAGGAATATATGGGGGAAATTATTTGGTTTATTATTATTGGTAAATATAATTAATTGATTTGTAAGAAATTGGATTGCATGGAAATAATTGGAATATTCATGTTCATATTGATTAATATACAAAAAAGGTAGTTATATAACTAATTGATTTATATTAAAATGTTGAATTTATATTAAACAACTGTAATATTACATAATTAACCAATGTGAGGATGGATATAAAAATAGATGACAATGGGAAGGGGTATAATATAGAATAGAAGGGAAAAATTGAATTTGATTAAGATTAGAGATGAAGATGAAGGGTAATATTGGTTTTTTACAAAAATAGATGAGGAATAAATATGGCAAAAAGGAAATATAGAAATTGTAAATTTAATTGAGATGACTAAACACTGTTTAAATTTGTGAACCGGCCAAATACTCTGTTCAAAGAAAATACATTGTATGTTTGTATGTGTGTTTCTAATTATTGTTATTTATTCATATTTGTTCTCTTTTATTCTTTAAAGTTTAACAATTCATTCTTTATCTTAATATCTTTATATTTGTTTGGGGTTGGCTTTCTTCCCTTTCATCTTTTTTTATTGTACAGGAATTTTTCTCCTCAAACCTACCACCTCTCTCTTTTATTTTCTTTCCTTCTTTCTCTTCCTCCCCTTCTTCTTCTCCTCCCTACTTCCTCTTCCTTTCTCCTTCTCCTCCTCTCTTCCTCCCTCTCTTACCCTCCCTCCTACTCTAATTTCCCTTCCCTTCCTTCATCCCTCTCTATTGCTGTATCCTTTTATGCATATGGACTACTCAGAGGGCTGAAAAAAATTATTTCTGACTGGTCCTCGCACTTTTGACCAGTCCTCGAACTTACGACTGTCCTCACTTTTTACGTTTTTGCCCTATCTTGTCACCATGGTGAAGAGAAGCAGTTGTGAAATGAGTGACATGGTTGTTAAGAATGCCACAATGGGCATAAATGTGAGGATGGTCATAAGTGCGAGGACCGGTCAAAAGTGCGAGGACCAGTCAGAAATGACTTTTTTCAGCCCTCTGTAGTCCCTATGCAGATAGCCACGCCCATCCGGTCACATGACCAGCTAGCCACGCCCACCCGGTCACATGACCACCAAGCCCACCCCCAACTAAGCCACGCCCACAGAACCGGTTGTTAAAAAATTGAATCCCACCACTGACCAAAACTATAGAATGACTTCAAAGGTTCAATCTGAGAAGGAGAATGGCCTAATTTGGCACTCTTTACACAAGGATTCTTTATATATCTGGAATATGTGGAGATCCATATCCAAAGATATAGATTTCCATCTACATTGAAGCCTGCACCACAATGCCTACATTGATGGAAAGAATACCATATAACTCTTACATATGATAGTTTGGGTAGAGATGAGGAAGTATCATCTCGCTCGGATTTTTTGATACCCCTCCACCCACCCCTCCGCTCTCCCACTCATACCCCTGGTGGTCCAAAGTTATATTTCTCTCTCCTTAGTTCCATGTCATTTGTGTTTACTGACGAAGAGACACCTTACCGATGATTCACTACTCACAATTCAACCTGAGAAAATGCATATCCAAAATCTCGCAATAAAAATAGATATGTGAGCAGGCAATTCAAGAGTGGAACTGTAATCTTAAAGCAAAGGACAAGAGATCCTCTCTTAAGATGACTTTAAGCCATATTTCATCACTGCAGATGAGAAGTGAGTCATCAACAGGTCTGTGTGAATTGTGAGTTCTGCAGGAAAGGTTCTGAATTCTGTTATTCTGAATGTGGCAAGGGGTGCAGAACAGTGGTAGGTTGCTACCGGTTCGCACCGGTTCGCGTGAACCATTGGTGGAAATTTGGCCAAGGTCGCCGAACTATTAGTGATGGCTGGCAGGCCATGCCCCCGAACCAGTCCCCCGGGCCGACATGTTTGTCGCCGTCATGTTCTTTGCACACGCACATCCCATTGACTTGCAAGTCCAATGGGATGAGCTTGTGCGAAGAACATGTAGTCGACGGCAGCAACTTTTTCTGTCAGTACTTTTCGGCACTCTGCAGAGAGAGTGGCTGGCAAAGAAGCTTTTTCAGAGGTTTCTTTGCCAGCCGCTTTCCAGCAGTGGCAGCTGGCTGAGGGCTGCTGAAAACTCTGGTCAGCTTGCCTTCCCGACTCTGGATCAACCGCTATGGAAGGTAAGCAACCAAACAAAGAGGTGGGGAGGAAGGCAGGCAAGCAGGCCTGGCCACAGGGACTGCCAGGAAGGCAGGCAAGCATGTCAGGGCCGCCTAGCTGTGGGGAAGAGAGCTAGCAACTTACTCCCTTCCCTGTGGCCCTGCCATGCTTGCCTGCCTTCCTGGCAGTCCCCCACACCCTTGCCTTCTGAGGTCGGATCACCCATCCAGCCCATGATGAGAGACGTGCCACTTCCGGCCCGGCCTGGCCAGTGGGTGTGTGGGCAGCCCTTCAGGGAGACCAAGCTGCTGTGCTGGAGCTGAGAGGGGCGGCGACAGCGGTGGTGCTGAGGGAGGGCGGCCGGATGTCCCAGGGGTGCTGCACATGTGCACCACATGTGAAGGGGGGCAGACACCACACCTCTGAGGAAAAGAGGCGGGGGCGAAGCCCTGGCTGTCACCCGGGAGAGGACCGTGGAGGGACACACACACATGTGTGCCCCTATTGCCCTCACTGCCGCTACTTTTGCTGTCGGTTTCTCGGTGCTCTTAAAGTCGATCTTGAAGAGCTGGAAGACGTTTCCTTAGATTGCCACCAAACTCATTGTTGGGAGCATCAGGCTAGCCCCTGAATATATGTGAAGTCTTGGGCAAACTCTTCTTCTCGGCCTCGTATCACACAGAAAACACATACGTTCTTTGGAATAACTTTGCCCAAGACTTCTTGTATATTCAGGGGCTAGCCTGATGCTCCCAACAATGAGTTTGGCGGTGATCTAAGGAAACGTCTTCCAGCTCTTCAAGATCGACTTTAAGAGCGCCAAGAAGCCAAGAGCAAAAGTAGCAGCGGCAAGGGGAACGGACGTGTGGTATGTCCCTCCGCGGTCCTCTCGCAGGTGACAAGGCTTCACCGCCGCCTCTTTTCCTCGGAGTCACGGTGTCTGCCTGACACACACACATGCCCCTGTCGCCCCCATTTTCCAGCCCGGGATGCTCGGCAGATAGGCTTTTATTTTGTCAGCCCAAGCGGGGGGAGGTATGTAGGAAATCACTCTGTCTCTGCAGCATCACTCATGTGACTGAGTAGGTGTGGCCAACTCGATCTCACTCACAGCAAGGTGCCGCCCCACCTTGCTGTGAGTGACTTCGAGTTGGCCACGCCCAGTGGTGGGATTCAATTTTTTTAACAACCGGTTCTGTGGGCATGGCTTAGTTGGGGGTGTGGCTTGGTGGTCATGTGACTGGGTGGTCGTGGCTAGCTGGTCATGTGACTGGGTGGTCGTGGCTAGCTGGTCATGTGACCAGTGGGCGTGGCTATCTGCATAGGGACTACAGAGGGCTGAAAAAAGTCATTTCTGACTGGTCCTCGCACTTTTGACCGGTCCTCGCACTTATGACCATCCTCACATTTATGCCCGTTGCGGCATTCTTAACAACCGTGTCACTCATTTCACAACTGCTTCTCTTCACCATGGTGACAAGATAGGGCAAAAATGTAAAATGTGAGGACAGTCGTAAGTTCGAGGACTGGTCAAAAGTGTGAGGACCAATATTGAAAGTTTTGACCTTGAATTTGGATGGCATGCTTATTTATTTTATGATAACAAAGTGGATAAAGTATTTAAAAGCCATATACTTAGAGACTCTTTGATGAGAGTTTGGAAGAAGCACCGATTCAAATGGGATTATAAAATACCGCTATGGCTGGATCTTGGTCATACTTTGTGGAATACAAATATAATGTCACTCGGGGGGGTTTTATACAAAGAGGTTCTTTTTACAGATGCGGGCAGATGGCAGTTGAAGACACTACAGACACTGTTGGACGAAGGGATTAACTTAACTTGGTTACAATATAATCAATTACAATTGAGATGGAGAGAGGACCAAAAAACTGGTATTATGTTGCATGAGGAAGAATTGGTTAGACATATAAAAGAGAAAGGTCCAATGCATATTAAAAGGCTTTATAATGTTTTGTTGGAAAGGGATTCAGAAACTGAGCTGGTTAAAGATTGTATGATTAAGTGGGCACAAAATTTTGAGGAGCCAGTGATGTTGGAAACATGGGAAAAAATTTGGGTTCAGAATGTTAAATTTACACAGTCGCAGAATCTGAGGGAAAATTTCTATAAAATGTTTTATAGATGGCATTTAGACCCAA